GGCGGGTGTGCGCAGGGAGGGGCCTCGCCCTCGCTGGTGCCCGGGCTCAGGAAGTGGCAAAGGAGGCAGTGCGTGCGGGACACAGACCTGGGCAGACCCGTCCAGCCGGTTCGCCCTCCTGCTCGGAGCCGCTGCCGTCCACCTGCCCCCTTGGCACAGAGCGGAGCGCCCAGTGGGGGCTGCATAAACGAGCACTGATGGCTCACAGGAGGGGGAGCAGAGGAGCCTGTGGGTGACTCTGCAAGACAGTCTGTGCCACTTCCTTCTGGGACGTTGGAAAAAAGCATCCAATTACTGCGGTTTCCAAACACTGTGTACAGAAGCAGGAACACATGTTCCATTTACAGGAGAGAGAGCGGCATCCGTTTCAGAAAAGATAGATGACCGCTTTGCATCTCATTCATCTACTGAGCAACTACTATGGATGTGAAGATAGCTGCTCACTGGGGTGACGGCCCGGGCTGTAGCCTCAGGTCACCACCCAGCACCGCCCAGTCCTTTCCAGGGTGCGGACTTCATCGGCGACGGCGTTCTCCCAGCCTGGCTCCCCTGCCAGCCTCCTCGTTCTCAGCCTCTTTGTTTTATTCTAGAACCCGGAGGGGGAGGGGGATGTGGGGACGCAGAAGCGGAGAAAGATGCGGCCTGGTTCTGTGCCCGGCAGCCTGAGTTCTGTGTTCAGCGGCCTGGTTCTGTGTCTGGCGGCCTGGTTCTGTGTCCTGTGGCCTGGTTCTGTGTCCTGCGGCCTGGTTCTGTGTCCGGCGGCCTGGTTCTGTGTCCTGCGGCCTGGTTCTGTGTCCGGTGGTCTGGGTTCTGTGCCCTGTGGCCTGGTTCTGTGTCCGGCGGCCTGGTTCTGTGTCTGGCGGTCTGGGTTCTGTGTTCTGCGGCCTGGTTCTGTGTCTGGTGGTCTGGGTTCTGTGCCCGGCGGCCTGATTCTGTGTCCGGCGGTCTGGGTTCTGTGTCCTGCAGCCTGGTTCTGTGCCCGGCGGTCTGGGTTCTGTGTCCTGTGGCCTGGTTCTGTGTCTGGCGGTCTGGGTTCTGTGCCCTGTGGCCTGGTTCTGTGTCCGGCGGCCTGGTTCTGTGTCCGGCGGTCTGGGTTCTGTGTCCTGTGGCCTGATTCTGTGCCCAGCGGTCTGGGTTCTGTGTCCTGTGGCCTGGTTCTGTGCCCGGCGGTCTGGGTTCTGTGCCCTGCAGCCTGGTTCTGTGTCCTGCAGCCTGGTTCTGTGTCCTGCAGCCTGGTTCTGTGTCCTGTGGCCTGGTTCTGTGCCCAGCGGCCTGGTTCTGTGTCTGGCAGCCTGGTTCTGTGCCCAGCGGCCTGGTTCTGTGTCTGGCGGCCTGCCCTGTCACCTGTTTTGGGAGGGGGCTGTTTGGACATTCTTGGCGCGTGCTGTGCCTTTGGGAGGAGAGAGGACGTCAGCTCCCACCGAATGAGCGTAGCACCATAAATAAAAATGTCACTTCCCCCGGAAAGGAAGCCAAATCATGCATTCAGAAGTTCCTAGTCATCTGCCTTCATTGTTGCCTCCTGCTTCCCAGGTCTGCGCGGGCCCTGCAGAGAGTCAGCTCTGGAACGCGGCATAATCAGGGCAGCGTTCGGGGCGCGATGCCAGTCCCGCTGGAGAGCAGGTTAAGAATTCAGAGGCGTGTTTCTGGCACCGGGTACCTGCGAGCTCCCTGCTTTGTGAATAATTCATTATTTAGGCAGTGCACCGTGTCTCCCACACAGCCCTGCCTAGGGGATCGGGGGCCCGGGAGGAGGAAGAGATCAGTTCCACAGATCTTTCAACACACACCCATTCAAGGCCCATTTCTGTTGATTTGGTGCCATCGGACAGCAGACCCGCGGACCGGTTTGGGGAAATGGAACAGGGTCGTCCGCTGGACGTCAGTGAGGTCAGTGGCTGACCGAGTGATTTGTTTGAATGAGGACAGCGAAGAGCCCTTTTCCCTGCAGAGCGATGGCGTTTGGTGAACATGGCTGCAGGGCCCGCCCCCGTCTCCTGCTGGGCCGGCATTGTGACAAAGTGCGGGCGCAGAGCGTGACGGGGGCCCTGCAGTGGGCTCTGCGGGAGGCGGCTCGGCAGCACAGCAGGTGTCCTTCAAGGCTGGCGTGGCTCAGGGGACGAGCATCAGCCTAGGAACCAGGAGGTCACGGCTCGATTCCCGGTCAGGGCACCGGCCTGGGATGTGGGCTCCATTCCCAGGAGGGGCGGCAGGAGGCAGCGGGTCAATGAGGGTTCTCTCTCATCAGCGATGTTTCTGTCTCCTCTCCCTCTCCCTACCTCTCTGAAATCAATAATAAACAAACAAATAAATAAACAACTGGACACCGTGTCTATCTCCCAGGAGGGCCTCTCGGGGTCTCTATCATGTGGCCAACCTCCCCCGGGGCTGCACTCACTGTGCGCGCTGCGTGTGGAGGCGCGGGGCCCTCTGTGGGCAGTGACCTCCTCAGGAGGGTCATTTGCAATCACTTCTCCATTCACCTGCCCCCATGGCTTTCCAGGTGGGGAAACAGAGTCACTGGGGGCATCTCTGTGGGGGGAGAATCCCTGGGGGAAGGATATCTTGGCCTAGAGCCCCAGGAAGCTGCCCCCAGAGAAGAGCTGTCTGGGGCCTGGGAACACAGGCCGCTGCTCTCGGCGGCTCTCTCCTGCCCAGCCCCTGACCCTAGGCCAGCAGTGTCTGCCCCTGTGTGGGTGCTGGGCTGACTGAAGTGGCACCCACACATGCCATGTCACGCGAAGGAGTCTGTCACGCACTTGCGTGTCTACGTGATCGCAGGTCAGGACCTAGTCGTTTTCAGCGCCGTGTGAATGTCCACTCCTGACATTGACACGTCGGAGGCAGCCCAGCACCCAGGACACAGGCACCTGCCCTGGGAGGCCTGACCCTCTGCCCTTGCTCCTTCCTCACGTTTCCAATCTGTGCCCCATCCCCCCACAGCCCTGTGATGGCAGATGCTATGATTCCCACTCTCCTCCTGGGAGACTGAGGCTCAGGGGGCGGGGGACTGCTCAGGGTTGACTGGGGACCCGAGTCAGCCAGCGCCCCCACTCCCCACCCCCCCTGTGGCCCATGCTCCTCGCTCGGCCCTGTTCCTCTAAGGCCCACTGGCCGCCGGCGCCGCTCTGAGCCCAAGTTCTCTTTGTCACGTGAATGTGTCTCTTATCTTCCCAGACTGAGGTCACCCTTTGTGTGGCGGGAGCTGGGCTGGTCTCTCCCGGCCCCGGCATGGAAGAGCAGGAGCTGTAAGAGGCAGCCATGGTCACCTGTGGCTCCTTGGCCGGGCGTCCAGTCAATCATTTATGTGGGTTGGAGGGCCGCAGCCGGAACACACGGAGCCTCCCGGTCACCGGTCACCGGGCTCATTCTGCCTTCAGGACGTGAGCGCAGGGACCCAGAGAGATGTGTCTGAAATCAGAGAAGAATCCAGGCAGCCGGGGAACGCAGGTGGGAGCCTGGGAGTCTCTTTATGGCCCGTGAAGGTCACCCTGGAGAGCCCCGCGCACACACCCGCACCTGGGGCCGCCGGGGCATGGGGACAAGGAGCTGTGAGCTGGAAAACACCGGAGCAGGTCGGAGTCGGGCCACTTCCCCGGTCCCTCCTGCTGCACTCAGTGCCCGGGTGAAACAAAGAAAATTGTGTCTGCCAGGCTGGCGAGCCGGAGTCACAAGATTGCGCGTGTCATGCAGCGCCCTGGGACTCCTGCAGGGACCCGTCCGCTCGGGTCCGCCGCCCGCCACGCGGAAACCGCCGGGCGCCGGACCTTCCAGATCAAAGCCTTCAGCACCGAGTTGAAAAACCATGTGATGGTCATGGATTTCGTGAAGAGCAACTGGTTTCCCTCCCAGAGCAGAGCCAAAGTGTGTATCCTCCGTCTGTACCGCGGCCTGAAGCCGGCCGAGAGGAGCGCCAGCACCTACGAGGTACCATGACCTAGGGGGGAGCAGGGGGCCCAGGCCTCGTCCGGGGACACGCGGGCCGAGGGGGGTGAGGGGGAAAAAAAAAGCGGACAGGTCAGATGCTCCGTCACTGGTGTGGGGTTTCCCCCAGGGGGCTTGGAAAAGACATTCCAGGTTTTGAACTAGGGGCGGGGAGAAGCACACGGGATGGATGGGGTTTATACATGACACATGCCTGCGTCTGCAAACATGATTCAGTGCTCCAAGGAGTCGGATACATTGTATCCACATGTAGTGACGCAGCCTTCCTGTGAGTTACATCTTCTGGGCGCTATACATGTGCCATCACCTGTCTTTAAAAACGAATTGCTACTTGTTTCCGGGTGTGGTTGGCAGCAGGGTAAACAGGGCTTGACCGAGGTGAAAGAGGACGGTTTCAGTTGGGCCGGTGAGAAGGGACTTTCATGTGTGAGGGGAGCTCGGGTTTTCAAGGGGAGGCTGCATCTGGGGGGAGGGGGGGGGGAGAAGGAACCCCGGGGATTTCGAATGTCGAAATGAGGGACACAAATCACCCCGAAGCATATTTGCATTCTGCAGCCGGGATGAGCCCGCAGCAGTTACGGTTCCGAAAGTAAACACGCATGAAATCTGATCGCTCTTTATTGCACCGGATCCATTATGAATGACACTGTAATTGACTCCCCTGTAGCTCACTTACCCATCTCTTTTGAAAAATGCAGCATGCAAATTGCTCATGTTTTATGAAAAGGGCACCTTCCTGAATATCGATGCTCCCATCTGGAGGGCCCCGTGAACGCTGGCACCTGCTCCGGCCTTTTGTTCCCGACGCTGGCTTCCTTCCTCCCAGGCAACCCGAGAAGCGCCGGGCCGGGCGTGAGGCCGGCCTCTGCAGTCCGAGCCGGGCCGTGAATTTCCATGCTCACGGCTGCCGGGGGAAGGCCACGGCCATGTTGGTGTTAATCAGTCCAGCGGTCGCCGCCCATGGCCCGGCGAACCAGGGCCGAAGGTGTGCGATGAGAGCGCAGTGGAAAGAAGCCAGAGATAAAAGCCAGAGATGTGGTTCTCGCCACGTCATTAATGAGCAGGTGGGGACAGGACGTCATTGTGGGCTCTCACTGCAGCCGTGCTCAGCCCTGGGGGAGGGAGACCTGTCGAGTTACCTCCTCTTGCACTTGACAGAAGGGTTCATGGCGACCTTTTAACCCACAAATGGCAGACAGCAGCTCCGTGTCCCCATTTTATTTTTCATGCACAAAACTGTATTTATTCCTAGAGTAACAGTGAAGATAATAGTGTGGTAATTTTTTAAAAAGCATCTTTGCAGGAGGCTGTAAAAAACTTCATCGTGACAGTCACAACTTTTTTGTAACCTGTTTCCCTGGCCTGTACTCCCCCCCACTCCCCCCACCGCACTGCGTTACCAGTCACAGCCGACTGCAGAGGCTGCGTGCCTGCTGCCTGACTGGGGCCTGGAGTCTAACGTCTATGGTAAAGTGGGAGCGGGTCCCAGACCCTCCCCACCCGTCAGGCGGGCCGGCTGGAGGGGCCTCACTGTGACTGGAGAAGTGGTCCAGGCAGGGCCTGCATCGCCAGCTCAAGGGCAGGCCAACCTTGAGCACCGTCAGTGAGGACCCGTGCTTCTGCCCCTCTGAGTCCCCCGCTGCTTCAGGATCTGAGCGGTCCTTCAGAGCCTGAAATTGTCCCACGCTGAGCCCATCGGACCCTTCCCATGGGTGGGTCGGCACTATTTCCATTGGGAACCGGGAGAGAGGCCGCATACCAGCTCACTTCCCACCCTGAACTGAGGGCGAGGCCAGTGCACAGCCGGGGCCTGTTCGCCGCGCCCAGGGCCCGCGTGGTCTCGCGGGCTCCAGGGCCATCGGTTCGCCTGCGGGCTTTGCCCATTAAGAGCTCGGTGGGGTGAGAGTGAGCCCAGCCCCGGACGGGCTCCCGGTGCACAGAGGTGCTCAGTGGGAGGCAGGCTGGTTCTCCCGCACACGTGACCTGGGAGCGTTCGTTTCTGTAAACGTGTGTGGATTCCAAGTCCTTCCCGCGAGGACCTCCTGGCTGCTTGTGTTGAGTTTCAGGTCTAAGGCGGGCATTTTCCTAAGGCCGTGGCCTCGGTCCGGAGCTGTGTCAGCGCTCCGAGATGCTGCCTCTTATTGGAGATCGGAGATGAGCCACGGCCCTGCCTAGCTCTGCCGGCCGGCACACTCCTCTCCTGACACCGTCCTTCTGTTGTTGCTAATCCTCACCCAGGGATAGTTCCCATTGGATTTTAGAGCAGGGGGAAGGGAGGGGAAGAGGCACAGAGAGAAAAGTACATCGATGTGAGAGACACACATTCATTGGTTGCCTCCGGGGGACCGAGCCTGCAACCGAGGTACATGTCCTTGACCGGGAATCGAACCCAGGACCCATCAGCCTGCAGGCTGACACTCTATCCACTGAGCCAAACCAGCCGGGGCTGAAAC